ACGTTTACAACCAATGCATACTGCCAGTAATAACAAATGGTTCCGAAACAATAACTTTAACCAAACATTCTGCAAATAAATTGAGAGTAACCCAAAGAAAAATGGAAAGAGCAATGTTGGGAATAACTAGAAGAGATATGGTACCAAATAGGATAGTGAGAGAAAGGACTAAAGTGACAGATGTCATAGAAAAAATTGCACAAGCCAAATTTAGATGGGCTGGACATATAGCACGTTTAAATGATAATAGGTGGACCAAAAGACTCATAGAATGGAGACCTAGAGAAGACAAAAGACACCGAGGCAGACCACCAAAAAGATGGATGGACGACTTGAGAAAAACAGTCGGAAATTGGATACAGAAGGCGGAAGATAGAGAACAGTGGAAGAACATGGAGGAGACCTATATCCAACAGTGGATGCAAGAGGTTGAGGAATGATGATGATGATGATGATGATGAATATCTATACTTAGGCAGGTATTTGACCTTTTTTGTCGACAGAAAACTGCTTTATGTAACTTTAACATTCATAAACCCGAGTTTGTTGCTTGTGGTATATCCTTTGCTCATTTCAATGACCAACTGCGATGCAAAGATCATCATCATAAGTGGCTCGATAATCCGTAGTGGATCTCGGCCTGCTTACAAAGAAGTCGCCACTCCTGTCGATTCCTGACAACTTACCCCCATCTTCTGACCCTTAGAATCTGTATAGAATATGTATGTAGAATATTCCTACAGCGTCAACTTCACGTGTTTCTTCAGCTGAGGAGTTTACACCGGAAGTAGTCAAACCTTTCCCCAAAGCCCCGCCTAGAAAAGAAGGAAATAAAGGAAAAAGAAAAGAAAATCGGCCATATAAACAGATACCCCTGAAAGGGAAGAAATTAGACAGAATACGAAGAGAAAAAAGAAAACGTTAAGAAAAATTTTTCTGACCCTAAACTAAAACCAAAATATCTTGATCAAGATTGTTTTTGTCTTGTATGCTGTGAACCATATGGTTCAAGTAAGCCAGGGGAAAGTTGGGTTCAATGCCTTGAATGTAAACGTTGGTTACATGAAGAATGCACAAGCCAAGAAGGTTTATACGTTTGCCATAATTGCGAATCAGATTGATCCATAATTTGTTAGGTTAAGCTCACTGTTCCTCTCCGTGTAGCATAGAATTCGTTAGGTTAAGTTCACTGTTCCTCGTGGTATAACATAAGTTTTTGTTTCTATTTTACGTAATAATATAACTTCTTTTGTACTTTTGTATAACTTTTGTACTTACATTGAATAAACATAATTTGTTTAAGCTTTTGATCACTGTTACTATCGACCCCACGTGATGTTATAACCTCCTTGGGGTTGGGGGCAGTTGTAACATTTGCCGCTACGACAATTTTTCACAAATATTAAAAACTATAATTATTGAATACCGTAAAACGGGGTTACATTGAACAGTTTTGCAATGAAGATTATATTTTTCTACAAGTTGGCCTAAACTTTTTTTTTGGGGCCGATATATTTTTTTGAGGGTTGCAAATATGTTTTTCTTGGACTTCCTGATACAGTTTCTGGCAGGTTCTCAAAATTAACAAAAATGAAATAAAAAATGGTTTCTGATATAAAAGGTAGTAAAAAAAATCTCTCAAACTTTGGTCTGCAGCCGGCGATATGCAAAAGATATCTTCTCATGACTAATTTTACACGATACTAGTACCTATTTGAACCTTATTCTACATAATACCGTAAATGATTAGGGTTTTGAATATTTTTAATTAATTTATACAAAAAATATGTCAATTATGTTGGGAACGTGGGGTAACATTGAACGGCAGGATTGAACGTGTTGGGCGGCGTCAATCGAGTTCCATCTAAATATTATTGTCTGGCGTTACGCTACCTCGTTTTGAATCATTTGGATGAAATTCACTCAGCTCAGAGCTCAGTATAACATTGGTTGGCTTGGCGGTAGGAACATTGTGTGGTTAGGAAATTCAGTTGTGGTGCAATAAATAGTGTAGTGCGATAATCTCAGTCCAAAATGCGTGATTACGTTAGAAAGTTGGGTAGTCGATCATACAAAAATTACACATCTGATACTTTGGATCAAGCAATCCGCGAAATTAAAACAAAACAGTTATCACTTTCCAAGGCGTCTAAGAAATACAAAATCCCAAAAGGAACATTAAGGCACAAACTGAACAACAAAAAAATGAAGGACGTCGAAAGGCCTACAGTTTTAAACAACGACGAAGAAAAGGCACTGGTCAAGATGCTTTTGAAAACCGCTGAATGGGGCTTTCCTTTGACTCACGACGATTTATGACATGTTATGAAAAGCCATTTGGATACAATGGGTAAAAGAGTTAAGCAGTTTAAAAATAATTTGCCTGGTATCGACTGGTTCTGAAAAGAAACAGAGAAATAAGTGTAAGAAACTCTCAAAATATATACCCAAATAGAGCATCGTCCACTAGAGAAGTTTTCATTGCTTATTTTGATAACCTTGAGCAATGTCTAGACGGAGTTTCCCCCGATTGTATATACAATTTCGATGAGACAAATTTATCGGATGATCCTGGGTCTGCCAGATGCTTTTTTAAAAGAGGGGTGAAATACCCAGAACGTTTATTATCTCAATCAAAATCAAACATTTCTTTGATGTTTTGTGGAAGCGCTTCAGGAGTTCTGCTGCCTCGGTATGTAGTCTACAAAGCAGAAAATCTTTGGACAACTTGGACGGAAGGAGGACATTCTGCAACATTTTTAAATTGGTTTACTTCTGTTTTCCTTTATTCCACGAGACATGAAGAAGGAGTCAAAGTATTAATCGGGGATAACTTGGCGAGCCATTTTTCTGAGCAAATTATCAGACTGTCGGTTGAAAATAATATTTGATTCATATGTTTACCGCCGAATACTACGCATATCGCTCAACCCCTGGATGTCGCGGTGTTCGCACCACTGAAGAAACAATGGCGTGCAATACTCAGCGATTATAAGTTAGCAACGGGATCAACTGGTCTTCCAAAGGAGATGTTTCCAAAACTTTTAAAAAATCTGATGTTAAAATTCGCAGAAACTACTGAACAAAACCTTCAAAGTGGCTTTCGGGCAACGGGTATATACCCTTTAGACAGAAATCAAATATTAAAGAAATTGCCTGGTACTGATGATACTGAATCAAATGAAAGTTTTGGAAACAGTTTAAACGACACAGTTCTACAATTTCTACAAGGTATTAGGAACAAAAAGAGAGCTAGAACTCAAAGAAAAAAGAAAATTAAAATCGCACCGGGTAAAAGCATTGGATTGGAAGATTTTAAAATAGGAGAAAGTTCTGGATGTTCTGCACCACCCACGAAGAATAAGGAAAAGTCTGCTAAGGAATTGGATAGTGACAGTTCCGACTACGAACTAGAGCTTCAGGACGAATCTGATTGTGATTTCGAGACATCTTGTGATGAAATGCACCAAGAAAAGAACGAGGAGATCGAAAGGCCAACAGGGGCTGCAGTCGTCGACGATTATGTGCTCGTGAGATTTGCAACCAAAAAGATCTTGAAATTTTTTGTTGGTCTTATCAAAGAAAAACTGCCTGATGGAGATTATGTGGTCAAGTTCCTGAGAATTGCGAAAAATTCTGCCTTCTATTGGCCAGAGGTAAATTTTTCAGTGCATTTTGCATTATACCAAAATCGATTGTTGATTTATTTTCAGATAGACGACATTTTAGTCGTAAGTTCTTTAGATTTTGAGAGACTTCTGCCAGCTCCAGCTGAAGACCGCCGCGGAAAAGTGGTTTTTTCGACCCAATTTGATGGGTATACTCTGGGCTAAAATCCTTCTAAAGACTGTAGTTTATACGTTTCCCTTATGTTTTGTCATTTGACTTGAAAATTACTTGAATATAATAATAATAAAAAAGAATGTAAAAAAATATTTTGTCAATAAATATAACCATTGAGAAAAAAAAAACAAACAAAACTCTCCCCACTAGTTTTTTTTTTCCGCTTGTTTCACTGGCGGGGTTAAATTGAACGAATAACTAACCTGTGGGCTCGTAGACACAGATTTATACTACTGTTCAATGTTACCCCGAACCCGGGGTAAAATTGAACAGCAACTTTTTTATAGCTATTTTTACATAGCTACGCCCAAGAGATAATCTAACGTATGTAAAGTCATGCTTCTATGGCGACCCATAAGTGGTATTTTTTTTTCGATTGAGCAACAGATACAAAACTTATTCAACAAAATATAAAGAAAATGTTCAATGTAACCCCTTTTTACGGTAAGCTATTTTAATATTGCTTAAACATGGAATTAAGGAATTCTGAACGAGAAAATTTGTTTATATCTGTTACAGTTTTCCCGAAATTGGTGTTTGAATTAAAAATGTTACTTTCGATCCCGGTCTACCCTAACAATATAAAATGAAATCGCTGTTATGTTAAACAATTACATAGAGTAGTTCAAAGTACCTAATTTGTACATTAGACTAATTTAACAAATATACCCACATTCGAAGTACCTAGACAATAAGATAAAGTTGCAAAATAAGTAACCTAAAAAGGTAAGTCTTTTAGAGCAAAGAATATATCCAACACTTGAGCGTACCGACGGCGTACCACAGCAAATTACTTCCAAAAACATAATGGATATATGGGAGAAATTGGGGCAACAATCTGTTTTCTACAACAAGGTTACTGACTTTTGCATATTATGGGAGAGTGGAGCAATCATATTAACACAAATAATATTTTAATATTTGATTTAGACGGTTCAATTTTTAAAACTTAACTCTGTAGATATTTAAAAATATCTCGTCGGTGCTGGGAATCGATTCTCCCGGCCTTCTGTGAAAAGTCAGACACTCGACAGACGTCTTTTTCTAAATTAACATAAATAATTTTATTAACATAAATAATTTTAGTATCGCTAATATTAGTTGAGTGTTTAACATTAGTTGACAAAAATTAGTAACATATTTCATTTTTATTTTAGTGCCAGAGTATATCTGCTCAAGATTTGGTCGAAGATTTAAAAGAACTCCGAATGGGTAAAGCACCGACGAGAAGCCGTAAGAGTAGCATTCCACCTCCCAGCCACAAGCCACCCCAAAACGTAATAAGCCCATCCAGAGATGTAAGTAGAGACTATTACGGATCAGACTCAGAACTCACAGCCAACAATGACGACTCAAGCTCTACAACAAGTGAAAAGTATGAAAGAGATGTCACTATCCTCAACCACTGTTTTGATGATATAGAAAAGTTCATAGCCAGATTACAACACGCAGCTGCTGCCGCACGAGAACTTGAGCGTAGACGAAAAACAAGAAAAACCAAAAAACGCGATATGGGTGACGGAATGTTAACCATGAGGACAAAGCCACCCCCAGAAAAGGAGTTCGTCGATATTTTCCAAAAATTTAAATTATCATTTAACCTTTTGGCGAAGTTAAAGGCGCATATACATGATCCCAACGCTCCGGAGCTCGTCCACTTTCTTTTCACACCTTTGGCTTTAATTGTTGAAGCTGCACATGATCAGTACTTCGACCAGCACATACCACATAATGTCATTTCTCCACTACTCACAAGAGAAGCCGTTAACTTGTTAATGAACTGTGTCACTAGTAAAGAAACCGAACTATGGCATTCGCTTGGCAGTGCATGGCTTATTCCCAGGTAAGATAGTACAAAAATACTTTGAATAAGAGCTGTAAATCCTAAAAGATTTATTTATAGGTGTTGTATAACTAATTTTGCAAAATTCTAGACTAAATATAATGTGAAGTGTACGTGATACTACTAAACATTTATATATATGGAATTATATAATATGGAATTATATAATATGGATATATATGGAATTATATAATATATATGGAATAAAGTGATGGTCGACTTTGTGGGTTAACGTTTTTGTAAATATATACTGACTTGAAAAATTCTGCAAAAGTCAGATCAGGACCTAACTGCTATTTTTTATTATTTAAAAAATAATAGAGGTGGTAATTCGTTGCCATTTCGTTTACTCTTAATAAAGTCCTAGAACTGTTTTATATCTTGTTGTTCCATTAAGGAATATTCATATTTATCGACAAAATTCAAATAGAACATTTTTGAAATACCTTTACATTTAAAGCGCCAGATATTGTAGTACATATAAATTTTATTTAACACTGAATTCTTATTATTGTTCTGAAGCTATTTTCTTGTGGCATTTTAAATTAATTACTATTTAGCTGGGAATAAGCCGCAATTAAAGATAAAAATACCTTTATGTATTTTGAGTTTAAAATACACTGTTTGTATTTTGAGAACGATTTCCGAAGTGGAAATTGAAACGTCAATAAACGTACATTTATCTTTAATTGTGGCTTATTCCCAGTTAAATAGTAATTAAATGAATTCTTATATTTTATATGAACCTTCTTCTTCCGTATTTTTAATTCTGAAGAAAACAATTTGTTTTCTGAAAACGATTTTTTTTGTTTTGATACTTTTTTTGTGGAATAATAATAATAATAAAAAATATTTTATCTTCTTCAAGTGCTATTATATTATATGCATTATACGTCTCCCTATTCTTCTTTTTCCTTGATTCTTTCCCTACATAATTAGTTGGAACAAGGTGAATTTCTTTCCACGTGTAATGTGTCCGAGATATTCCAATTTTCTTGTTTTAATTGTATTTAAAATTTCTATTTCGTTATTCATCCTTCTCAGAACCACTTTGTTTGTGACATGTATGTCCACGATATTTTCAGAATTCTTTTATACACCCACAGCTCGAATGATTCCAGTTTTTTCATTGATGCCACATTCAAGGTCCAAAATTTCATTCCATAAAGCAAAGTCGAAAAAACATAGCACCTCGCCAACCTAACTCTTAGTTCCAATTTTAAATTCCTTGTACACAACACTCTTCTTATTTTGTTGAAATTTGCTCTAGCCTTTTCTATTCTGATTTTAATCTCCTGAATATAATCATTTGTGGAGTTAATTGTTCCCAGATATGCATATTTGTCCATGTGATCGACGTTGGTTTCGTTTATTAGAAGATTCTTGTTATTTCTTTGAGTTTTCGATATTCTCATAAATTTCGTCTTGTTGACGTTCATTTTTAGACCGTACTCTTTTTCATACTCCACTATTCTGGTCACCAGTCTCTGAAGATCTTTAATATTTTCGGCTAAGGTCACAGTGTCGTCCGCATACCTAATGTTGTTAATGGGAACTACATTTACCTTTATTCCATCTGTTTCACTCTCAAGAGCTTTTTTCAGGATCCCTTCGGAGTAGAGAATAAAAAGAATTGGCGACAATACGCATCCCTGTCTCACTCCATGTCTAATTTAAATTTCTTCTGACAGCTGTTCGTTAACAAATACTTTTGCTCGCTGTTTATAGTATAAATTTGATATGATCCTGAGGTCGTTGTAGTTAATCTTCTTTGATTTCAGGAAATTTATTAATTGTTCATATAGAATAGAGCAAACAGAGCCGCAGGCTACCTAAATGAAACAATATGGAGAAATAAAAATATCGGGAAAGAAACGAAAGCAGAATTTACAAAACAGTCATCAGACCAATAATAACAAACGCGGCAGAAATAAGACCTGACACAGAGAGGATAAAAAGGATGTTAGAAACAGCAGAGATGAAAACACTTAAAAAAATTGATGGTAAGACACTATGGAACAGAGCTAGAAATACATATATACGACGTAGATGCAAGGTGGAGAATATCAAAAACTGGGTAAGAAATAGAAGAGAAGAATGGAACGATCATATAATCCGAATGACAACAAATAGAGTAGTAAAGACGGCAAGTGACGGTTCACTAATAGTGAAAAACAGACAGTCATGTCTATATAAAAATAAGAAGAAGATTAACTGTGTGTTGTAATAATGAATCATCGCAGTGTACTTGGCTCAAACAATTATTTTATAATGACAAATCAGCTGACTTAAAATCATAATAAAATAAATTATTCTAAACCATAATAAAATAAAGCGAGTATCGCTTACATTGGTGTGATCTGTAGAACTGTACATTTGGATGTTGAGTGGATGATGGTAGTTATGAGCTATTACTAGGGCTAAATCACTTAAAGTAACAATATTGTTTACATTTGTAATCAATACCAGATCTAAAATTGTATCTGTTGTTTGGAACTTTATTCACGTGATACAAACCATGGAATTCACCATATTCTGAGAGTATACTAAAAATTTCACCCTTTTGATTATGTTGTCTCTCATTTATTACTTGTACTAAACATAATTCTCCTGATAACCAGATATAGTAGGGCAGGTTAAAATTACCACAAAGTCAAAGGGATCATTTCTAATTTTCCAGAATATTATCCACTGTTGTACCAAAACACTGGTATTTATAGACTGCAGCAATTATGATTGTATCATGACCAGATCCTATTATAACAAATAATTGTTCAATTTCCTGTTGAGAGTATATTATAAAACTTACATGACCTTTTAATACCGCTAATAACACTCTACCACCTCTGGAAGCATTACTAGAATTTTAACTTCTATCACTTCGTTAAATAATAGAATCAGACAATTCTAACCACAGTCACTAATATCACTGGTTAGCCATGTTTCAATTAATATTATCATGGAACAATTATTTGCGGCAACATTTGTTTGAAGTACATTTATTTTAGATTTTAATCCACCTACATTCTGATAAAAAGTTTCTAGTTTTTTTTTATGAAAAGATGATACAATAGTTGTTTTTCAATACCATAGAAGGGCTGCAAAACTTAATGAACAAAATAACAGAAACAAGTAGAACCTATGGACTGGATATAAACACCAACAAAACCAAGCTAATGATCATCAGCAAGCAAAACATAACTGGAGCAAATCTGTATGTGAACTAAATGAGAATTGAACGTGTCTCACAATACAATTATTGGGGAACTATAATCAATGAGTCGTGGGACAATACCCAAGAGATTAAATGCCGCATCGGAAAGGCCAAAAGTGCATTCTTGGCTATGAGCTCTGTGTTCAAAAGCCATGACCTCACCCTGAAAACAAAAATAAGGCTCCTTAAATGTTACGTATACTCAGTGCTTCTGTATGAAGTAGAAACGTGGACATTGAAGGCGGAAACTCTATCAAAACTTCAGGCGTTTGAATTATGGTTATACAAAAGAATCCTGAAGATACCATGGACAGACAGAGTCACCAATGAAGAAGTACTACGGAGGATGAACACAACCGCGGATTTGGTCAACATTGTGAAGAGCCTTAAGCTGGAGTACTTGGGACATATTATGAGAAATCAAGGCAGATACGAGCTACTCCAATGCATTTTGCAGGGTAAAATTAAAGGAAAAAGAGCCCCAGGACGAAGAAGAATATCCTGGCTTGCTAACCTGAGAGCATGGTATAGAAAGGCCTCAACACAGCTATTTCGTATAGCAACCAACAAAATCATCATAGCCAAAATGATCGCCAACGTTTGGAACAGACAGGCACCCTAAGAAGAAGAAGAAGAAGTTTTTTTATTACATTACTGACAAACTAGTTTCCTCAATATCGTTCGCATCAGGTACATTATACAGCATGATTTTATTGGCTGAATTATGTTTCTCTTACAATTCCATAATATTCTCATCTCATCAAACCCTGTGCAGGTTGTTAGTTTATCCTGGGTTGTTATTTGGTGTGGGTGTAAGAGGTGCATTTTTTAAATTATCAAGCTCTTGGCGAAGTTTCTCAACCGCCTGAATGAGTTCTGGGACCATTTTAAAACCTTTTATACAATCGGTACAGAAAAACTTGAGTTCTCGGGTCACTTATAGTTCCATCACCTTAATCTCAGAAGCACTAAGTCCGAAGCAAGGCTTTTTATGAAAAAGTCTATAAAAACTGTCACATGATTATCATTTTAAAACATTATTTTGGCACTTATTGCATTTTATGTGAGACATTTTAGGTTAGAAATTTTGAAAGGTCATATTTTCGTAACATAGTACGATTTTGGGGTTTCTCACAATTATGCAACTTAACAGAAATGAATTAAACACTTTCATGCACTTTAAAATAATTCAAAACTGGTAAACCAATCAATAAAAAAAGTTTTTCTTTATAAATTTAAACATATGTATAATTTTGAGGTTATGATTTAGTTATTAAAAGTCTGTTATAATTAAGAACCAAAGAGTAAAAGAATTCTTGAAGTTTAAATATCTAGACTCTAATATTAATACAAATGGGACTGTAGTAATGAGTTAATTGGATAGGGATGCCTATACCAATGTTTTCCAAGCCTGGAAAGTAATAGTGTAACAAAACATTCCCTTGGACGATTACAGGTCATTAAATCCTCTATTTGACACGTATTTTTATACGGTACAAAAACCTGGTCACTAAAAGTAAGAACATTAAACCGCATTGAAGCGTCTCAGATGTGGATCATCTGCAGGATAACTAAATTTCAGGGACGTAGCATTGCGAAGGGGTATTTACAAGAGCAGATAGAGAAACAAATTTTAAGTACTACTAAATAAAGAAAAAGTGGGCGATTGTTGATAGGTTCACGATATTCCTTACCAGAGCTCATACTGCCAAGATAAATAAAGGATAGATCTGCATAGTAATGTCGTCGCTGCATAGTATGTGAGACTTACTTCTAAAATCAAAAAATAATATTCTGATATGGTTATATCCACCATGAATTGTTAAGTCCCTTGTTAGTACAAGGGAATTCGTGTATCGTCTCGTCGGAAATAAGGGATCGAACCGCCTTAGCATCCTGATATGCTCTACAGAGGACTTCGACCATCGCAGGTGAAGAATTCTCTGCTAATTCCATTTTTGGGTAAGGACCTGGTGAAGTATTGGTTCGGTGTCTTTTGTTTTGATAAATACAAGATATTTCTTACATGACCAAGTAAAATAAAAACACCAAATTGAGTTATTGAATAAATCAGCCTCAGAGTCTGGAAGTGGTAGCTGCAGCAGAGTCCAGAGAGCTATAGCCCACAAACTATAACACTCGATGACACTAGAATAAATCTTCTTCTTCTTCTTTAGGTGCCTTCTCCATTACTGAAGGTTGGTTATAACTGCAGCAAATTGCTCTCTATTTTGAGCTGTTCTTAGTATCGAATGTGTATCCATGCCTGTCCAGTCTCTTACATTCTTTAACCAGGAGCATTTTCTTCTTCCTGATCCTCTTCTTGCTTCCACTTTCCCTTCCATTATAAGTCGTAGGAAGTTGTATTTTTCTCCTCTGTAAATATGTCCTAGATCTTATACTCGTGATGTGTTCTTGCCAGGAGATCTAGAAATAATAGATTGTCTGGCTGCCTATTGCGCTAGTTCATTTAGCATTACCCAGGGTGCACGTGTAGTATTCTACTACGGACGCGAACTAGCTTTACACTCCAATAGGGCTGAATATGCTTCCCCGGTATGGCTCAATAGCAAACACACAAAGATTATTGACACTCAATTAAACCAGACAATGCGAATGATCTCAGGTACAATTAGACCCACACCGAACTATTGGCTTCCCATTCTGAGTCACATTCCACCGCCGAAACTGCGAAGAAGTCATTTTCTTCTCAGAGAATATCGAAAAATTGAGGCTAACCATTAACTAACCATACACCAAGATAAGCTTGATATCGAAATAAACAGACTGCGCTCCAGATATCCTCCATTGCTAAGAGCCAACTCCTTACATCAGGAACATTTCAACCTGACCAAAGCTTGGAGAACAGAATAAGAACAAGCAGCGGTAGATGTGCTGACAGCTTATATAGATGGGGAAAAGCCCTTACTCCTGAGTGTGACTGTGGTGCGCAACGACAGACCGTCCGTCACATTGTTGAAGAATGTCCCCGAAGGCGATTCCCTGGAGTTTTCAATGAGTTCCTGAATGCGACCGAAAATGTTTTACATTATATTAATAATACATTAGATGTTCGTTTGTAATACTTCATGTAACGTTTTATATTGATTTTTTAATTGTGTGGTCTTATTGTATGCCATACGATAAATAATAAATAATAATGTCCTAGATAACTCGTTTTTCTGTTTTTTACAATATTTAGGAGTTCTCTCTCAGTACCCATTCTTCTTAGCACCTCGTTATTGGTCACGTGCTCTGTCCAAGAGATCTTCAACATCCTTCGAAAAACCCACATCTCAAAGGCTTTTATACGCCTCATACTTGTAATTCGTAGAATCCATGTTTTCACTCCGTACATCAATATGGAATAAATAAACGTTTTTACAACGTAGTGTTTATTAGGAATTTTTCATTCGTTGAAATGCGGACCTAGCATATTCTATACGGGCACGTATTTCGACCTCGTGGTCAAGATCTTTGTTATCCAGCAACCAAGATACTAGAATCTTTGTACTGGTTCTATATATTTGTTATATATACGAATAACAATGTCGACATTTGGTGCACGTGTAATAGCCATTACTTTTGATTTTTATTCCTTCTTCAATATTTTCGAGGGCATTTTAAAAGATCTTTTCTGAATATATATTAAATAACAGTGGAGAAAGTACACAGCCCTGACGAACTCCTTTTTTTATTGGCAATTCTGCTGTCAGACGATTGTCTATTTTGATCGACGCCATTTGATCCCAATATAGTTTTTTAATAAGTGCTACAATTTTATGGTCTATACCATGTTGTGTTAGAGTTTCTATGAGTTCTGTGTGTTTTACTCGATCAATCGCTTTTTGGTAGTCGATAAAACAGAGAAACACGTCTTTTCGCTGATCTTGGCATTTTTGTAGTAATATCTGGAGGCCAAATAATGCCTCCCTTGTACCAAGCCCAACAATGGAAAGGAAGGCTTGAAGAGGCTTATGTTCAGATGTGGACGTGAATGGCTAGACGAAGAAGAAGAAGAAGTACCAAGCCCATTCGCAATCCAAATTGATTGTCACTCAGGTTTCTCTCGCATTCTCTGTATATTCGATGATGTACAATTTTGAGTAAAATTTTCAGAAAATGGCTCATCACGCTAATTAATCTGAACTGTGAGCATCTATTTGCTTTATTTTTCTTTGGTATAGGTATAAATGTCGATTTAAGCCAGTCTTCTGGGAAGATTCCAGTGGTATATATTTTGTTGTTAGTGTTAACGTCTGAAGATTTTGATAAGCTTTATCGTCTCTACGTATATTTCATCTGAACCGAATGCTTTTTGTGGTTTTGCCGTATTGATTGTTTCTGTAACTTCCGATGTTAATATATTAAGTATTGTTTCTTGTACTATATTCATTTGTGGTTCTGTTCTCTCGTCTAGAATAAATAGAATATCAAAATGTAGTAAGGTTACTTTAAACCAATAAAGAAAATTTAAAAATATTTTTCATCACCGTAATATACATATAGACTATATCTCTTTTCTTTTTCTTGTCGTGTAGAAATTTTTTTTAAAGAGAAACCAGTAGTCTATTCAAAATAAAATGTTTAAATAATGATAAACTTTGGCATTTTCTTAAATATTGCACAACATTTTTAAGGAATCAGTAATTTCTTTTTAATTGAAGAAACTATTTCGTCCAAAGGCTTGACTTATATTGAAAAGTTCCAGATTTAATGACACCTTTAAAATATAAACTTATGGTTGTTTTGGTTGGAATAGTTTTGGCCAAAAATCATTTAACCTCGGTACATATGAATCTGTAAAGACTGATTTCATCGCAGGAGTGATATATAAAGCCAGCCTTCGTTGACTATAATTAGTGAGTATCAGCATATTCTTGAAAGTTAATAGTAATTTGATGTTACAGAGACCAATACAAAGGTAATGTTATGACGTATCACCCGGTATTTATGGATGGCTGGTCGCCGGAATATCCAGTAATTGATGAAACAGAACCCAAGTCGTACCAACACGATCAGTATGGAGGAGACTATACAGACTACCCCTCATCAAGTCAAGATGTGTATGATCGGAACAATCATCATCAGCCTGATAAGGATATTGCAGCATTAGGTAAAATAAAACATAAATAAACAAATAATACAGTCTTAATAAAAAATGAATCATTTATTTTAGGAGAGAGTACCCGAAGTGATATTTCCATTGACTCGATTGAAAGAAATGGTGGAGATGAACGAGGTTTTGGAAGAAACCAAGAAAGTTTCCTTGAGGACTTACAAAATAGAGGCGCTACTATTGTCCAAGTTACATATCCTAGAACAGCGAATAATGAGAAAGAGTTGACTGTTGTTCGAGGAGAATATTTAGAGGTAAATTTATGTACTAGACTTTGTTCAAAGGTGTTCCGAGTATTTTAATTGCATTATATTTTATAACAATACTAGTCATATTTCTGAAAGATATTATTTATTATCTTCAATGAGAATTGAGAACAATTTCATTTAAAAATATGTTAATTTTTACGTTTTAATTTCCACTTCGAAAATAGTTCTCAAAATACAAATTATATTGTGATATTCCTTCTTTATGACCTTTTAATATACACCTTCTTCTTCTTAAAATTCCGTCTAGTTGGATACTAATATGTGAATTTTTACTTTATTTTTAGCAGGTCTAAAAAGTTGGATGGAGCCCAAGTTAAACTATTCTTTCATATTTTGTAACCAAGAGGTTTGTCTCCTTCCTCTATTTGCTTTACCTTTAATTTTAACTTCCATAATTAACTGTAGCAGTATGTATCTTAATACTCTCATGATATGTCCAAAATATTCAAGTTTTTCTTTTTTAACTATGTAGTTTTACGACTTTCCCATTTCTATTAACTCTGCGTAGGACTTCAATGTTGGTAACTCTTCTTATTTACGATCTAGGCAGAACTGCACGCTAGTACCATCGTTCAAATGCCTCTAATTTGTTGATATCTCATTGTTTCAGCGTTCAGACCAAAGCCGTAGAGTAACGTTTTCGTCCATCTTTAGATTTCTTTATATTTACAAATTTGGCTCTAGTGATTTAAATGTGACTTTTAATCTCTTGAATTTGCTCTGCACTATGAGTTAACCATATTCCTGTTTACTCTTTCTGTCTCTCAACTCCCGTAATATGATTTTTACCTCATGTTTTTTTTGTTGGGTTCAGAGCAGTGCTTAATTGGTCGTAAAACTCCGAAACTCGTTCTCATCTTTATTGACTGTGGAACGGTACACCTATAATATGCTTACCAGGATTCCCTCGTATTAATTTTCATTATTGCAACTCTGTCTGAAATTGGGTCACTAGCCTTCTCACTTGTCATGGCGCTGTAAGATATTATCTCAGAAAAATTGGCAAATCAGATGATGAGAACTTCCGTTTCTGTTACAACGAAAAGAAAAGGTAGAAGATATACAGTATAACCTGCCATATCTGGATTCATGTGGCGACCGACCAATACAATACATAGGTTATAACGTCTTAGGCATTTAATATCGGGACTAAAATACAAAACATATATACATTACATATATAAGAAAGGTAAAATAAAAACCTGTTTTTAAGCTGTATTTCTGTTTTTGTAAACAAAAATTAAACGTTTATAAACTTAGTACATACAGACTATATGTTCCACATTAGTTTTTGAAAAAATTAGTAATTTTCTGCTGCTTGCCACACTATACACGTTTTTTTTAAGCAATGTCTCTCATCCTTTTTAAGAGCATCACGTCACTTGCACAAGTATCTTTTTGACTTTCAACGTAGCACAGTAGGGCCTCGAACGACTTGAATGATTCCGAGTGTCTCATTACGACCGGATTTTTGTCAGTGCTTTCATCCCCTTCATTGTCTAAGTTTACTTCATCATTCTGGCACACCATGTTCAATATATTGCCGTCTGTTAATCCGTTGTATTCTTCTGCACTCAACCACTTGTTAACATCGTCTTCGTTCATTTTTTCACATCCCGGTAGGTTCCTTACCAGTTCTGCGATCTCTTCTTCGTTGAAAGTTTTAGTGGTACCTTCTTCTAGTGTTTCTTCCGTCCACCCATCAGATGTTTTGTGGTCTAACAGCTTCCTTCATGACCTTACCATTGCTGTTGGTTTTATGTCATTCCATGCTTGTGCCACCCACATCAGCACATCTAACATTGTTTTTTCACGTCCACTTTTTTTAAAGACTTTGTAACGTTTTCTCATTCATCCATTCCAGCAATTAATGCCGTCAGTAACTTTCGTCGATACACACGTTTTATAGATTCTATAAGACCTTGGTCCATAGGCTAAGGGGTGTCATATTTAAGGGCAAAAAAGACACTTTATTTCTCCATCTTTTAGTTCTTCTGAATCGAGACGTGAGGGTGCCTTGTCCAACAGCAGGACTGTCTTTCTCGGTAGATTATTTTTTGCTAAATTTTTTTCACCCTTTGGTACAAACTGATTGTGAAACCACTCTTTAAATAGAAAACTGTTCATCCAAGCACTCTTTTGATGACGGTACCAAATTGGCAAGGAATAAAAGTGTCTAAAGTTTTTGAAAGCTCTAGGTTTTTTTTGACTTTCCGATAAATCCTAGAGGGAGTTTGTGAGATCCTGTAGCGTTACTGCAGACTAAAATTGTCACTATTTGCTTTTTCTTCGTGAATTCTGGTGCACTGTCTTCTTGTTTTAAGGCCAGAGTGTAGGTCGGCAGCATTTTATAATTGAGACCTGTTTCATCACAATTGAAAAGTTGGTCTCCAGTTATTCCTTCTTTCTCTAGTGAACTGTGCAAGGTCTTTTTGAAGACTACGACAACTTCTGGGTCAGCAGAGAGTATCTCATCACATATCTGTAGCTTCCGCATACCGTACCGATTTTTCCAACTCTCCAACTATCCTTCACTTGCCTTGAAATCATTATCACCTCCAATTTCTTTGTTGAGGTGTAATGCTTTTTATTTTAATATAGGCCCTGAGATTGGTAATCCCTGCTCTCTTCTTTGGGTGAGCCAAAGATGCACACACTCATTGATATGGTTGTTAGGGTCATTTTTTATCATTTTCAGTTTCTCTATCCCTCCTCCTTATTCCTCCTTATTCAGTTGTTGAAGGCTGCGATAAGCACCATTTTTTAAATTTGTTTCTAGATTTTTTCCACTCACTCACAGTGATAGTCCCTATACCCATCTCAACAGCAATCTCCATAGCCGTTTCACCAGCATCTAGCCCCTTCAAAGCACGAAACTTTTCTTCCATTGTTACAACATTTTTCTTCCTTTTCTCGGCAATATTACCACAAAAACGAGTGTCAAACAACGACCAAACAACTAACCAACAACGATCACAATGTCAAAAGTAGGTACAAATTTTAAAAATTTCACGCCAAATATCTTTCACTGCTCAAGAGCAAACAAAGACTGAGAGAAAACACAGACCCACAGTCGGAGAAAGTCAAAACGGTAGAGAGAGTCATTCAAGGCCACATACCACGCTAAAAATACAGAAATTCCTAGAGAACTACATAGGCACGGAGCCGTTTATATCTTCGAAAAATTTGTTCTGCGAACTGTCCGGATATGGGGAGATCCGGATGTGGCAGGCTAGACTGTACTATGTAACTATGTAGTATTGTCCTGCAAACGACTTAAATTCCTAGGAGAGGTCAATCAAGCGCCCACTGACATGGGAAACAATCCACCTAGAAAGCTAATCAATATCATCAGAAGTACATCATCCTAGAGTTTACCTAGATTAAGATATACACAAAAGATCTATAGAGGTCGAATGCAGTGAGGTTCCATGACCTAACGACCTTTCATAATCTTATATAATCTGTCTGAAATTTTGTCCTAATAAATTGTGGTGATTAGCCACCTCTGACCCGGTATTTTTTGCATGAATATAAAATATCATCTTTTTATATTATTACTTAAAATAACATTGTTAATTTTAGATATTGGATGATAGTAGAAAATGGTGGAAAGCAAGAAACAGCAGAGGACAGATCGCTCACGTTCCGCATACTATAGTAACACCTTATATTTTTAATAATCCCTTACACGCCACTCAAAACTACAGAAGGAATGTAAGTACTTATATTTTAAACAATTTTTTTCAATATTTAAATTATTACTTTTAAAGAGAACAAATAACACTGACAGAGAAACAGTATGTTGGGTTTTTCTGAACCACTTTATCATGTTTTTAGTATTTATATACACGGGATAGGCACCAAAAATGTTTCAATTTCCTATTTAAGCCCTAACCGTGCTTTAAAAGGCACGTCGAGCGGCCAGTCCTGGTTATATGATTAGTGGTTAATACTAAAAACTCACTGAGTCACATCTGATTACAGCAAAACGTGGGCAACTATATAGGTATGTCATGAAGGAAAAAATGTCTAGTAATGCTCAACAACAAAGCCCGCTTATTATCTTAGTGTCAAATATAAAATGTCCTATCTAGTGAATTTTGGCATTACTAAAGCAATCCCTTCAGGTGCCGTAAGTGTAAAACCTTGCCCTGGTCTATTCTCAGATCATTATCCGGTATATCTAACAGTTAGTTCCAAAATATTAAAAAATATTCAAAATCACACGTAAATGCTACACGATGAAAGGCAGTCTACCATTGAAGACACTGAATGCCAAACAGGACCCCCGATTACCATTGAAGAAGTCACGTCAGCAATTAAAAGAACTAAAGATGGTAAAGCGGTAGGGCCTGACGAGTTTTGTGCAGAATTCCTTAAACTTATGGATGAACAGGGAATAAAATGGATAACAACTGTATTCAACAACATATACGTAACTGGAAAAATACCCCAAAGCTGGTTAAAGTCGACCTTCGTGACCATACCAAAAAAAGTAAATGCCAAGACATGCGAAGACTACAGAACAATTAGCCTAATGAGCCACTTACTTAAAACGTTCTTGAAAGTGATACACGGCAGAATATATAAAAAATGCGAAGAACAAGTATCATGGACGCAGTTTGGATTCCGCGATTCCTTAGGCACCCGAGAGGCTCTATTCGCTGTCCAAATGCTTATGCAAAGATGCAGGGATGTTAACTGCGATGTGTATATTTGTTTTATTGACTACAAAAAGGCATTTGATAGAGTAAAACATGATAAACTAATAAACATCTTGGAAGAAGTGGGGCTAGATGATAGGGACTTGAGAATCATCTATAATTTATATTACAACCAAACAGCCAATATTAAAGTGGATGAACAATTGACAGAGGCAGTCTCCATAAATAGAGGAGTGAGGCAAGGATGCATTCTGTCGCCGGTGTTATTTAATATATACTCTGAATATATCTTCGAGCAAGCGCTGGGAGACCTACAAGAAGGCGTATTAGTCAACGGAATGCGTCTAAACAACATTAGTTATGCCGACGACGCAGAAGTTTTTGCAGATAGTCTGGACGGTTTGCAAAGAATAATGTCGCCTATATCACATATAAGTAGAAAACACGGACTTGATTTTAATACGAAGAAAACAAAGTACATGGTAGTCAGTAAGCGCGAAATATTAAATACACAGCTTTTGGTTAACCAACATCCAATTGACAGAGTGGACAGCTACACATACCTTGGTACCAACATTAACAGCCAATGGGATCACTCCAGTGAAATAAAACAACGCATAGGAAAAGCGAGATCAGCGTTCATAATAATAAAGTCTCTTTTCAGAAGTCATGATTTACCACTTGCTACCAAAATCTCTCTCATTAGATGCTATGTATTTTCTACCTTATGTACTATGTTGCTATGTGTTTCTACCGTAGAGGCCTGGACACTTTCCAAGCTTCCTTAAGAAAACTCGAGGCATTCGAGATGTGATGTTACAGACGTACCTTAAGAATTTCATGGGTGGATCGTGTGACTAATGTTGAGGTCCTACGTAGAATAGGCAAGGAATGCGAGATCATTAACACCATCAAAGAGCGCAAACTAGAATATCTTGGCCATGTTATGAGGAATGAACAGAGATACGGCTTGTTGCAACTCATTCTTGAGGGCAAGGTATTTGGAAAGAGAGGACCAGGAAGAAGAAGAATATCTTGGCTTCAAAACCTAAGAAAGTGGTTTAATACATCGACAACCGGACTATTCAGAATAGCAGCAAGCAAAGTTAGGATAGCCATGTTGATCGCCAACATCCGGAACGGATAGGCACCGTAGAAGAAGAAGAAGAACACGTAAACATACAACTAGTATATCATCCGAGTACTTTTAATTGCAAGATAAGCTTAAACGTATTTCTATATTCTTAATTAGATATTAATGACGTAGTACAAAATTTAACTACAATTGAGAATATAAAACTTGAGAAAGGCACTCTGCCGAAACAGCTGTAGTGATAAAATATTATAAAAAATTTTGTAGAAGTTTTAAAAACAAAGCTTTCAGTGTTTTATTGTTATATTTAACAACAGTTATCCAAGAAAGTTCTAAAACTTCTAAGAGAGCAAGTTCTAAAATAAAAATAGCCATTATGATTGCCAACATCCGTAGAGAGACGGCACTCTAAGAAGAAGAATCCAAGAAAGTGCACTGCAAACCATATCTTATTTAAAGAAAAAAAATCATGTTAAACATACCCATTATTAGGGAAGAAGTTGGTAATTAATCAAAGCTCCAGAAGGTAAAAAAATGTATAGTAATATTGCAAAGGAAGTGAGAAGCGCTTGTAATAGACAATAAAAGTATTGACATTCAAAAGTACCTAGAAAATCTAATACAGACTGAAAAAAACCTTTAGATGGAGATATAGCCTCTAGAAGAGTCCAGGGGTAGGGTGGGGGTCGTGTTGACTGTTCCGCTTCTTTTGACACACCTGGTATTAAATATATTATAATACAGATTATTGCACAAATGTAGGATAAAATAGATTTAAATAAGCAATTTCTTGTGTTTTAGGACTCGCCAGTAGAAAGATTTAACCGTGATCATAGCAACCAAGATCATTCCCCTCAATCAAAGAGTACAGATTGGATCAGAAACGAAAGGACCGGTAAGAAGGGAGAATTTCGCTATTTCTGAGTGCAGCTTCCAAAGTGTTTCGTCCGCTTTTTGTGTTTGCTAACATTTTCGTTTGTTTGATGAGCATAGGGGATCGATTTTTCAAACTTAATCAAATTGATAATTTTATTTTTGAAAAACAGTCGAATTATTGCGCCAGTAGTCATTCAGTTAAGGCTGTAATGTAACCAGCATCAAAGATAACTATTTAGAAAAAAAAGTTCATTGTCATTAATAAGAATACTATTACTATCTTCAAAAAACTCCTGAATTCAGTTTCAAACAAATCAGAATAAATAATATTTTTACATTTTTTTAATTTTAATTAAAACCGTGTGGGGCACGTGCCGCAGCCACATTTTTATTCTTATTATCATTAATATTTTCTTTTTACGTTTGGTCTGAGTTTCATTTGCTTTCTGTCGTTGCCCTCTTTTTAGTAACTGTGTTCCTCGTTTCTTTTTAAGATTTAAGATAGTTTTTTTCAGTGGTTACAATTTTCTTCTTCTTAATAGCATATTTACTTCTCACATTTCTTAGACATATGGTACATTATATAAGCAATAGAGGAAATAAAAGGTGGAGCTGTTTCTAGATGAGGGAGTATGGTTGTCTTGTTAATAGGACATAAAAAAATACGAATACTTTTATTGGAATTATTATTGCATTAGATTATTGGAATGTAGTATTGGTTTGCTTTACTGACATGTACCTTGTCTCTAAAAGTGGTAAAACAAGTTTATTGATCTTCATACATCTCGATCTATTTAAGCTGCAACTGAGCATTTACTCAAGGTGCAGATTGTTTCTTTCCCGCACAGCTACTACTCGTTTCTCATTAATTATCATATTTTTGAATTGTTGACAGTGTTTTTTATTTTAAGGTGTATCACCATTTTCAACAATAGCTTTTAATGGGATCGAACTGAAATCTATTTCAGTTCACTCAGATTTAAAGCCATATTGTTTATCTGAATTCTGATAAGTCACTTGTCTGCAAATCATTTCCTGAGATATAGGGTGCTACGATCGATAAAAATGGCTTATTTTACTGATCAGTCCAGTTATTAGTGCCATTTAGAAGAAAACTGTGATCACGAGCAATCACATTAGAAAAAGAAACGATTGAACCTAATTTTGGCATATTGTGAAACAGTTTCGGTTAGTGAAATTACCTCTAGATTGTATTAATTAATCTTAGAATAGTCTCAATTCTTCCAGCATAAGTTAAGAATCTATCCAACGTTAAGTCAGTTGTGTTTTTACTTCATTAGTTAGTCTTTCCGACAATACGCAAATGCGAAAATCTGAATGATTTCAAGTCGGCAGCATTTTTTGATCAAAAAACTTTCTGGATTATTCTGGATCTGGATCGAATTTTGAATAGTTAACGTTATTTGTTTCAAATAGAAAATATCGCATTTACGAAGTTTTATTTCGTTTTATTATTGTTATATCTTTTAATATATACATATCATAAAGCAGTGAATAGAAAATGGTTTTCAATACAACGCTATTAATATTTTCAGGCGTTTTTTGTTACTATTTGTTTACATTTTGTTTTTAGTGTCCTAGTGAATTTAAAGTAATTTCGTTTTGGTAACTAATTAAGTTTTATATTTATGTGAAATTTATACCCATTAACCAAGAGAACTGATTCAAGAACAACCAAGAATACTGATCAATTTTCGTCTCTGCAGGAAGTATATCATGAAATTAAATTCACTGTTTAGTCAAAGGAAAAGTTTTGTTGCCTATAACGCCGAAAAATAAAAAAAGTAATTTTTTACACCTACACACATATTAATTATTTTTTGGTGCCAGGAGCACTAGCTACTGGTAAATATTTTATGTTATGTTATTTTACTAATATTTGACTGACTGGCCACTGGCGCAGGCTGACTATAGGAACATCCGTCCTAATTGCTTGTATCCAATTTCAGATTCTTATATTAATTTATTTCGTATATATTACACTTCATTTGTTAATAGATATATAAATTTTAGTGCAATGACAAAAAGAGGAAAGTGTAACAATAGGTAGTTTAAAAAACCCATAAAATAGCCTAAAAGAATTTGAATATTGCTCACCATATAAGGAGATTATCTAATTACATAAATAACTTTATGTAATTTTTTAACTATGTTATTAAATTCTTATTAATATAAATGTATATATTTCAATTTCCCTTTTAATATTTGACTTTTATGATTTTTTACTAACTCAAAATAATACGTAAATATTTTTTTTGTATACAATATATCATACAAAAAAATAAATTTATTTACCATTGTTGCTTTTATTTACTGCTTATATTCCTGGTACTATTTATCTTAGGTATATTATAAAACATTTAAATATTATGAATTTTAATTAATTACAAAAGTTAATAATACTTAATTCATATTTCTGGCATATCTCATGCATTTGCAAGTCTAGCATGGCAACACTGTGGCACCGACTTCAAAACTAGTTGCTGCGTTTCGCCTTAATTAAATTCGGATATTCAATCAACGGTTTCGCATACATTTTACATTAGTAAAGTCTCGTTTTATGCGGTGAATACATTTCACAGAAACGCGCATATAAAAAAATTGTATAAAATAGACATTACTTGCCTTGAAAAAGTAGGGATACGTCCCATAGCCTTCTAAAATTACATAAAAGCAAAACAAAAACAAACAAGTTTCCAGAAATTAAAAGAAATAGGCTTTAACAAAACTGGTGCATATTTATATTCATTTGTGTGACTATTAATATATATTCATATCATGTCGATAAACAGGAAAACAGTGGAACCTGTTTATTTTACTATAATACTATTAAATAATTGATGGATTCGACCGTTACTTGATGGAAATTCATTTTATGTAACAATAAAACACTGAAAACTTTGTTTTCAAACTTCCACAAAATTTATTTTAAATATTATCACTACAGCTGTTTCGGCTGATTGCCTTTCTCAAGTGATCTATTTTGGCTTGGGTTTACAAATTTATAGTCTCTAATGAAATAGGTTGAGGAGGGGAGAACTGTTTGTCTCAAGTTGGTCATTCAGAATTATATCTGTGTTTTTTAATTTGTTGATTTCCATAGATTCTAACAAAGATAGCTTAAGGCCTTTATTTTGAATGTGAAGAATTTTAAATTTGCCATTAAAAGAATGATTATGATCTAGAAGGTGAAGTGCGTATGTCGAATCTGTTTTTCTATTCTTGAAAGCCCTTTTATGTTCTGCTATTCGTTTATCAAAGTTTCTACCAGTTTGACCGATGTAAGTTTTTGGGCAGTCGCCACATTGAAGTTTGTACACACCACTATTTAAGTGTTTGTTATTTGTTCGGAAAGCTGGTGTTATTCCTTTCTTTTTTATGTGTTTGGCAATTTTTGTTGTTATTTTGCCTGTATATGTAATCCAGCAGAAGGTACTGGGTTTTTTCTCTGGTGGTGGAAAGCCCTGAAATTAATATTATTAAAAAGTTTTCAGTGTTTTATTGTTATATAATACTATTTATAGTATTGTTGTTGAAAGTAAACTAATGTAACCTTATGAACTTTGTCTGCAGGTGGATGTTTTCAAAGTTGTCTCGTTCTAAAACTTGTTTAAAATAGCTTTATTCTTTAATACCCTTCCATTTTAAATCATAATGTTTTGATCTCCAGTTATGGCTTTCTGAAATATCCATTGTATTATCCGGTGTAACCTTTTTAAGCCGTATTTTATAAGCTCAGGTGAGATGCCCCCAGGTCCCGGTGCTTTTTTATTTTTGATTACTTTTATGGCTGTTCTTATTTTCCTATCTGTTAGTTCTATTTCTTGTTGTGGGATCTGCTTCTTCTTCTCCTGTTTTCTTTTCCAATGAATTGTGGTCTTTGTTCTGTTAACACTTCCTTGTAATAGTCCTTCCATTCTTTGTCCTGTATATTTTCCCAATTTAATTTTTTCTTTTGAGTTTTGTTTCAATCCTCTCATTACTTTCCATGACTCCGAAGTTCTCGTACCTCTTATGTACGTTTCAATATTCAAGCAGGTTCTTTTCCATTCTTCATTCTTTTGTTGTGTTATTTATTTTTTTACTTCTTTGTATTTTTCTCTATATTCTTTATAAACGTCATCGTTATTTGTAGTCAGCCATTTTCTGTATAGTTGCCTTTTTTTCTTCAATTATTCTTTTTTGGTTCATTTATTTCATAATGGTGCTGTTAATTTTTTATATATTTATCCTGTTCTCCAAGGGCTTCGAATTCTGCTTGTTTTATACTCGCCTTTATACGCTCGTATATTTCTTCGATGTTGACGTATCTAAATTCTATTAATTTTTGGTCTAGGCGTTGTTGGTATAGTTCTCTTATTGATTGTTCTTGGAGTAGTTCTATATTGTATTGTTTTTCTCTTATAGTGTTCAACGGTTCTTCTGTAGAAGTGGTCATGTTATGTTTCCAGTTATGATTTCCAATGATTTTTTTCCAATACAGTCCCGTTTCATCAGCGTTAAATACTTGATCGGCACAATAGTCCCCATCTTCAATAATTTTCGCTAGCTCCTGTGGAAATATTTTTGCTGTTGCTTTATCTGCTGTAACACTGTTGATATTATGAAATTCATTTCTCTTTTTAAATCCGATTAGCTATCCTTTGCTAGCTGAAAATTTTTTATCAGCTTGGGAAGTGGAAGTTGGTGGCTCTGACTATTTCATCAACTCATAAAACTGAAGAGCTTTTTTCTGGATTAAATAACTACTTACAGGAATTCTTCTTTGAATCAATTCCTCAATTCAAATTGCAAAGACCTTTTCTGTCCTTTCTAATAATACACCCATTAAGTAAGGTGAACATTTGGAGCTTAATGTTGTGCCAAAAATTATAGATTTTCTTATAGCAACTTCATTCTTCTTAATTGCTCTTAAAAATAATTTGCCTAAATTAAAATGTTTTCCAATTGTCGTAGATCCTTCTCGTTTTCCTAAGCGATCTAAAATTGCAATTTTCG